CGCATTCATGCAATGCGAGACAAATGTGGTGAAGGTCATAGTTCTGGATGTTATGTCCAATGACTGGGGTGAAATTTACAGTTCGTCTTGCGAGGTTGCATTTTTCATGTGCCCATCCCAAAAATTTTCCAGAAAAATGGCAATGGTCAAGACATTTTTCGTGCTCATTGGTAAAATGTATACAGCAAATCCAACATGTTGATGTGTTTTCTTTGTTCAACGATTCTTGGCTTTCTAGAAATTGAGGAAACCGTCGCTTTTGATCATATATCTCTCTCGCTAATTGATGCAACTGATTGAGAATTTTTTTCATGCATTGATCAGAGCTGTCATAGTCAAAGAAGTAGGGCTGTGAATTTCCGTGTTCAATTACAGCCAATGAATACCCACAAGCTTCGTGTTTTTGTACAACTCGGGTAGATGATCGCGATGGATTATCAGGACAAGAATCTACAGGTTTCAGAAATGATTCAAAATCAAAATAAATCACAAGTGGTACAAACCACAAGGCCTGGAGGTTTTTGAACTCGTATCTGTTGGTACCTTTTTCTGCTGAAGGCATGACTACTAGAGCAGGTTCATGATCCTTACAACACTGGATGTGTTGCTCGTGAGTTTCATCACTCCAACTAATGTGAAAGCAGTTTCTACATAAACGTGCAATTGGGCGATACTTACACCCTTTGATTTCTGATTTCGCAGATGAACTTTAACAAATCGATTATAAGTACATAGTGATGCTTTGCAGGCTCATACAAGAGAAGCCGGTCCATGTCAAATATTTCAGTTTGGGTGCTGTTATCTTGGTTTGGTCGTTTTGATATATACATAGGCAATAAATCTCCCTTGTGGTACTGGAACACATTTACCCGCACGTCGTTAAGTTGTTCAAATTTTCCAATTGAAGCGAAACTCATGGATGAATCAAAATTACCTTGGGCTTTGTGTGCACTTTCAGCAGTGTATGTATCAGGTTGTGTCCGCGCAGCTGCTGGGTTCGCTTTTTGTTGATCAGTTAGAAGTAGGTCAACACCATGCTGCAGACTATAAGCAGCGGTAAAGCAAAGTTCGAAGCAATTATTATCTTCGTGATTTCTAATGTTTATCAAATTCTGGGACATTCGAATTCGAAAAGGCAAGTCAATATAAGATGACCCACGGATTGGTGAAAACTTTGCAAGTTTAACAAAAACTTGAATTACGTGTTGCAAAACCCAACCGCTTCCATAAGATGCAAAAGTCTCCAAAACTGCTTGCATTTTTTCGACCATTTCAAAAAACTCATCATCTTCTAATCCTAAGCTCATCACAGGTTTCATATCAGAGTTTGCATAAATGTCAATCCGTTCGTCGTGCTCAGTTTTACTAGAATCATTTATTACTTTAGGTTTTACCAAACCTAAATTAGCGCTGAACTGAACTTTTCTAGGTCCTTCTGCAACTCGATCGATTATGAGACTTTGAATTTCATCTTTTTTCTCTTGCATAAACTGCAAAAGGTCAATCGGCTGATTTTCATCCATGGGTTGGTTTCCGCCGATCACATACGTTTCAAGAACACCGAAAAAAGCAGACTCACTTTTTTGAAGATTGGTGCCGTTGATTTCGTCTTCATCGACAGCATGCACATCACCGAGAGCAGCATTAGCAGCGGCACTTGTAGTGGCTAAATCAGCAGAGGCAGCTCTCATAACAGGAAGCCCATGAGTTGCTAGTAAATGAGCTGATAAGTTTTTTGGCGAATGAAATCCCAAATGACAATAATCACAAACACCTCCAAGTTGACCATGAGTGTGAAGAATATGTTTTTGTAAATTTGAAAGCATTTGAGCCGTGAATGAACACTCATTGCATCGATAAACAATAAGTCCTTTTTCAACAAAATGTTTGTCACGCTCATGGCGACTTCTATTGCTCTTATTTGCATATTTCAGTGGACAAAAATTGCATTTGAACATTTTTTGAAATAAGTTAAGCTATTGATTTTAAGAAAGAAAAAGAATCAAGTGATCTCAAACTACACTCAGAAACAACAGTAAATGGGAAGCATAACTGTTCGTCTACCAATTGCAGAGAAAACGGTTTGTGTTTTGCGCGCGTAATTTTGAATTTGAATTAAAGTTCCCGCCAAAATTTGAATTAGATTTGAATTTCCCGCCATAACTGGCAAACTCAAATTCGATTGGACGAAACAGATAAATTGTTGTTTTAAAAGTTAATAATTATTACAAACGATAGAAATTATCCTAAGCCAACCGAGTTTGGGCTAAATTTTAATCCAAAATGATTTTAGAGCCAAGAGAGAAAAGTTTTAATTTTATATTTTATCAATTCAAATTATAAATTGATGAAATTTTCGAAATTGCGAATAAAAGTTGAGCAAGTCACAACACATGACAGATCCTAAATATCACAGTTGTCATGGGGACAGAATATCCGATAAAAATGTCAAAATTAGTATCAAAAACAGTTGAAATGATGAATAAGTAAAGCAAAAACTGAAAAATGACAGTTTTTTAACTTTCCAGGCGCATTGTTATCAATGATGTCAATCACGGAGCGGTCGCACGGTCCATGTCATCATGAATTTGTCTCAATTGTCTTTCGATTTGAAAAAAAAGTCCGAAAAAATACTTTTCCGTAAAGAGAAATGAGTTTGTTGTTTTAGGGGGGATTAAGGGGATTAGCGTTTTTCTCGAAGACTATTGAAAAAACATCTACTCGCACAATCTCATTAGCCGTGCCGCTCAATGCACTTTTATAATAACACCACTTGTTCATAATAAAAAATTGCGTCTTCTGGTTGAAAATCGCATTTTTTCGGAAAAATGAAAAAACGATGAGTCATCAATTAAAAAGTTTGATTTTTATTATTTTTCTCAAATATTTAGCATGATGATGAATACTTGTATTTTTTTCAATATGATCATTTTTGGAGACAACAGTATCAATGATCAAATGGTAACTCCAATTTGTAGAAAAAGAAAAAAATTAATGCTTTTTTTTCCTTTTTGTAATTAAAAAATCAAATTTTTAACTAAAAACATTAAAAAAATAATTATTTTTATCAAAAAGTTGGTTTTAAACTTCTTTTATACTATTTTTTATTATGTTTAATTTGTATGATAACTATTTGAATAAACATATCACAACATAAGTTTTCATCCAAAATTATTTTTTTACAGTTTTTTTTTGACGTTAATTATCTTTTTTCAAAAAACGAAATTGATTTTTTTAATCTTGTTTTCTAAAAATTAGCATATATATATGGATGCTTTTCAGTTTTTTCTCAAGATCACTAATGTAAATAAGAACTTCAATGTTAATATGTTAAATCCTATTTGTGAAAAAAATGAAAATTTTACGGATTTTTTTTTTGTTTTTAATTGAAAAAAATTAGTCAATTTATTAAAAATAAATGATTTTTGTAACTTCAATTTTTAAAGGCCTTTAAAATAAATTTTTAATCAGAACCCAATCGTGTGATAATTAATGAACAAATACAAGATACAAACTCAAACTCAATTTTAAAGTTAAATTATTATACACAATAAATACAAACAAAAATCAATAAAACTCAACCTCAGTTTCAAAGTTATATAAGGTCCAAATACTCCTGCGCTTTCTCTAGTGTTGTTAACTTCCTTTTTTTCTTTGGCGCTAGACAGAGAGAAGGGGTTAAGTTTTCCATGTGGTTGCTCACAGTAGCCACAGGGGTACGCTTTGGAGTTGAGCAACCCGGTTCGTCAAGCCATGGTGAAACTACAGGGGAAGGATCAGCTTTCGGGGTAACTACTGATGGTGACTCAATTTGTTCCATTCCCCATAAACGATCAAAAAATTCAATTTCTTCAAAGTATTCTAATTGGTTTTCACACATCGGAGTAACATCACAATCGTATTTATACAAAAAATTTTTTACTGGTTTTGATAAAGTTGAAATATCAACCTGAAGAGCAAGAGGCTCGTCAGGATCCGTATATTTACCAGAATTTGTAAGGTAACTCAAATACTTTATATTCAGTTCTTCGTCTTTCTTTGAATTTTTTAAGGAAAGTTTACTGAATAAATGTAAAAAAATTTTGGGAATCATAACGTGATGAGTACAAGTCCACTCATCAGAATTGAAACTTTTTTCTTCGTTAATTATTGCTACAAAATTACCGTGAACGGTTTCATAAAAAATGGTTCTTTCGTAATTGGAATATCCGGCATTTTTGAAGAAAAGTTGGAAGAAAATGACAAACGTAACGCAGAGAGAAATGAAACTGAAATGAATTGTGAAAACGCCTCAAGAGATTAAAATAGGGATTGGTTCTTCTAAAATTAGAAATTTCAAGACCTCCTATGTAGTTTTTAATCAGTTTAATAAGGGAAGGCGTGTAAAATATTTATGTTACCTTGCGTGGTATTCTATGTTTATCTAAATTGCATTCAAACAAACAGCTTGTATCAAAAATAACGTTTTAACATTGTGACCTTTAACACCCATTAAAATTCTTATCAGTTGTACATGCACAAAATACTTATCCATATGAACTAAATTGCAATCCAATATCTTTGCGATATAAAGTACATGTGTATATAAATTAAAATAGATACAACGCCGCTTTCTTTTGCAGACATATACAATCAATCGGAACCAACCATTTCTTTCTATTCAGTTTTGAATCAAGTTACTTTGAAAACTTACTCGTTACAATGAATAAAACCAAAACAAGCACCACAGCAGATGCAGATAAAGATTT